AAAAAAAAAAAAAAAAAACCACCGAAACAACGAGAAAACCATTTCATTGAAAAGTGGGAAAAGGAATTCCATGGAAAATGTAGGCAAAACAGCCCAAAACTTGGAAAATGGAAATTCATGTTTCAAGCATGGCCTTAAAAGTAATTTGAGTAATGACAGAACGTTCACACACTCAAAAACAAGTAAAATAAAAACCCTTAAATAACAGAGAGAATTGGGGAAGGGACCATAAAAAATTATTTGGTGCCCAGCAACTCCTCACTGTTCACTGCAAAAGCCATGCAAAAGCCAAGTTCAGCTTTAATTTTGTGCTATAAAACGAACCATTTACAGTACTCGGTGTAGTTGGCTTCAGTCAGAGTGAGGAAACAAAAGCGACGATGGAGCTGATGAAGCGCATTTGTCCGGATTCTCCATATGTACGCAAATTTTAAGCTCTGTTCTCTTTTAATTGTTGGGAATGTAATGAATTTAATTGTTAACTCATAAAATTTCTTGTTGGAAGCTATATAATCTTTTGAATTAGATAAAAAACTTTTTGATCGTAGTAAACGTAAACTTCTTGCACTTTCTGGTTGAATAAACCATGAAAAATATGAACCGTTTTTGCATTATATTTGGGGAACTTTAAATTCGGGAAAGCCAATGGGATCCTGAAGAAATGTGGAATTAGAAAAGCAACTCTAATTTTGAATATCGTTCATATATATACATGATAGCGCGTAGACTCGTGCAAATTTACACTTTAGCATTCCTGGTGGGAAAATAAGGTATTTCTAGTTCTTGTTATAACAAGTTGTTTCAGATATTTGGTTTCTTGATTTTGTGGTGATTCTAAGTAAAGATCTTGATTTTACTTGTCTGTGATCAGGTGTGGAATCAAGAGGGAGTTTCAGAGTGTTTCGACAATTTATATCCTTTGATTCGCTTGCTTGATTTCATATCACTGTTCAACAGTAATTTCATGTATGGTAGGGAGAGGATTGGATAGCGCTTGACACCATTAATGAATGAAAATAAGCTAATATATTTTGTTTATTATATTGTCCAATGCTACGCACCAAACATGCAGTATTGGTATTATTTCTGGAGTTCCATTTCTTTCCCTTTACATGTATTCACAGTCCTTGGTCTCGGTGTGAACATAGTGACTATGGTTATGATTGCTGTACTCGGAATCACGACAAGGCACCAGAAAGAACGTAGGAGGGTATGCCACTAAACTTGATTGTTTTCAAGAAATAAAGCAATGAGGTCACAAAAGTTGACTGTTACAATTTTTCCTTTGTCATTGTCTGATTTAATTTGAAATGGAACTTGACATTTATGTAATAGCTCGGATGGGGTCACAAAATGTCAATACAATGAGCCATTAAATGGAATTGCATTACCATGAGCAATCGTTTTGCTTTTAGATTACAAGTTCCTTTAGTTACTCAAGAATGCCAATTTGTATGACGACATGATCTCGAATTTCCAGTATTTTGCCAACAAACATTGATAGTTAGCAGTTTAAGGGTTAACCATGCTTGTGTGGCTAATCTTAAAGACACTTTAAAAGGAGCTTTTTTAATCGGCAATGAACTACAAAAAAAAAAAAAATCTCCTTCCAAGGAGCTTTGAAGCTTAGCCAAACATGCTATTAACTTGAATATATACCATAATTATTATGCTCTTTCATTGTTTATCTACTTTTCTTCTATTTTTTGACACTGGACTATGGAACCAGGTTCATGTTTACTTTGTACATGTATAACTTCAAGTTTTTGCTCTTGCCTCTCTATCACATTGTTCTCAGTATGTCAACTGAAATTATACAGATACACCTTTCAGCAAAGATTTTATTTTATCTTCTACCTGCTCTTGGATTATGCTTCGCATTCTTCGACGTGGCTGTGCTTATAAGGAGAAGACTAAATGCATACCACGTTGCATATCATGAATGGTTATTTAGTCTCTCACAGTTCTCATTCTGGGTAAGTCTAAATTTTCCCAAAGTAATTGAAATGAGCAAGATGAAGCTTTCTTCTTCTAACTGGAAATAAACTTTTGTTTTCTCGCTGTTACCAGTTTCAGGCTATAGTTATCCTTGTAGCAAAGTCCGAAAATCGGTTGGTTGTCATGTGCAATCGCATCCTGTGTTTTTGGTGGATTGCAAAATTGTTTCTGCTGATCCCTCGACTGCAAATAGTTTTTTCTTCACCAGGGGTAACTCTTGGCATATACTTAATGTAAACTTTTCCCTTATACTTTGGATGATGGAACAAAGTTTGACCTCATCAATTTTATTATGAAATTGGAGTGCGTCATGCTTAATCACGGAGCAATATCTTTTGATCTATTTGTTAGTTTATGTCTCATGAACATATTGTTGCCTTCATGCATGGTTTATCGGGAATAAGGTTTCATTTTTGTTATTATTTAGAACTTTTTCTTCTAAACCTTCTGCTTTTACACTGGCCTTGTTTTATTCCACTGAATTAACTTTTACGATTTAATTAACTCAAAATAGAGGTGTTGAGTTTCATATTATCTACTTACAGGTTTTAAGATGGCTAAAGGAGAGCTGCGTGGCTATTACTGACATACTTTTTGGAATTTTGATAAACATAATCAGAATAAAGTGGGCAGCTCATGGAAGCAGGTAGATGCAATTTTATAAAATTATGCCATATAGAATCCTGGAGGCACGATAAACTGTTCGTAGATTTTTTACATTTGTACTTTATCCCTAAATAAATCATATTACAACAAAAGTTTAATACTGATATGAAATATCTAAATGAGTTTTATAATCCACAGAAGATATTAGAGCAAGCAGTAGTGAGAGCTTAGAAAACCTTAGCCAATTCTAGATTCTATAGTGTTAGCTAAACCTCGAACTTATGCCATTATGGATTAAAGATGAGATATAATGGCAGATGGATTCCTAATCCTGTGTAGAAGGAAAGAAACTTTGGACAAAAAAGCTAAGTATGTACCATTAGATAAAATATGTGTCACTCTTCCACAATTTGAAATTCTTCATGAGAAATAAATTGTAAATAAGCTTATAGTTTCTGAGCTTTAAAATTCCAGACACAATTAGTTAAACTGGGTAATTATCAGTTCATTTTCTGGAGTTTGGAATGAAGAATTTATTAGGCATTTGTCATATTCCTTTTCTACATTTTTCGTGTTACTTTTTGAAGTTAGAACAGTTGAAGATTATTACATGTCAATTTTCTTCATTGCTGATACATTTTGTATCCCATAGGATTCTATCCCATCTCTGCATATTATGTGCTCTTACCTAGGTGCAATCAACATGAAAGTTGGTCCTTTTTATTATTCTTGTTGTGATGATATACTAAATCGATTATGGTAATTACAGTTACTTTTTGAATTGTAGTTCAATGGAGGAGTCACTTCTCCCCTGCAAGATGGAAGTTAAAGAAGATTGTTGGACAGATCTGGTAGGTAGTTCCTATCATTCTGCTACTTATATTTAGCATCCCAATTTAACCTTTAGTTTCACGATTTCTATGCATCTTAAACCTCTAAAAATACATTTTCCTCAGTTATATTCTACTTTGTCATTCGGTTCCACGTTTACATGTTTCTATGTTATTCATGAAGGGAATTGTTGGCAATGTTTGGCATATCGTGACATTTAAATCCATTGATCCAGTGATGCAACGAGGTATGAAAAAGCAGCTTGACTTTGAAGATTTGCTTCAGCTACCCTCGGATATGGATCCCTCATCCTGCCATAACATTCTACTAAGCTGTTGGAATTCACAACGAACAAATACTGCTGCCCATCCTTCTTTATTCAAGGCAATATATTCAGCTTATGGATGGCCATATTTCTGCCTCGGTCTGTTGAAGGTATGGTATTGGTATGCTGCTTTCCTTTGGAGTTTCTCGAAAGTAATAGAAAAGGAAAATACAAAACAGGTGACTCCTGCAAGACTTTTACTAAGAAGGGATATTACTGATGGATCAAATGAACTATTAGGTTTTTGAACTTGTTGTCTAGTCATGAATCCCACGATGGGAAATAAAATATATTATTCTTTACCTACTTGCTGTTACATATGATTGAATTAAATAATTTTTTTACCCATTGAAGTAAAATTTCATTTGAGGAAGATAATAGTTCATAATTTCCAGATGTGGCAACTCCTTTTACTTTTCTATATTAACTATTGTTTCAGTGTAGAAATTGATATGAAGTTTATAGTTTCTAATGTGATGTAAATATTGAAGCTTGATATGTATTTTGACGAGTGCTTATGTGCTCTCTGGTTTGTTTTGTATGATTTAGTTTACATTTCTTTAATCTGCCTCATTGAGACAGAGTCATTTTCTATTTTACTTGTAGACACATATTACAGCTCTTTAGAGTTAAGAGTCTCTGTCTAGTTAAATTCAGTGGATTTTGATCTTTAACTCCTTATAGCGTGCATATTATTTGCCACTTTGTACTTCATTAGTTAAATGCTTTTATGCAGGTTCTCAATGACTGCCTTGGTTTTGCAGGACCGATACTTCTCAATAAGCTAATTCATTTTCTTCAACAAGGTTTACATTCTCCGTTACTTGTAAAATTCTGAGAAGAGAAAACTGTAATAATTGAAGAATGATGATACTGAGTTATCTTGTCTTGATAAGTGGCTTTGACTAAATTTATACTTTTGTATCATATTCAGGAAAAGTATGATCCAGTGTGAAAAATAAAATGATTACAATCCATTTTCATTTACATGAATATTGTATGTCAACATTGAAATCAAGGCATATAGTTTTTTAATGAGGATAAGTAATCTAGCTCATTACAATGTAGCATACACCAACTGTGGAATTTGGTGCTTCATGCTTGACATGATTCTGAAAATGTGTGATCTCGGAGAACAAAGATCCAGATATATATGATATCAATTAATAGTTATGGCAGTTATTTTAATTTATTGGATATAAATGCTTGTTTTTTATTGTTAATTTTGGAATTCTCTCAACTCCTGCAAGGGCATACGTATGAAAGGCTACTCCAGCATTTGTAATGCTATTTGAGGAATTGATGTACAAATGATTGATTTCCTAAATTTAGTCGTAGTTTCGACTAAATTCTCTTCTCCTTATCTGTGTGTCCTATGTCAGATAACCTCAGATATGACAGCAATTATAATCATCTGCTGATCAATGCAAATAATTGATTTTCATTTTCAATTATATCACCTGCAAGTCTAAACCCACTTGCCTCATGTAAAGTCGCCTCTTACTGAGTTTTGGCTCATTTGGCATTGAACTACTGCTAAAAAGCAGTGGAAATACTCAGAAAGCTAAAATTATTGATCTGCTTAAGTTTTCATTGACAGGTTCCAGAGAAGCCAATGGCTACTTTCTAGCAATATCCTTGGGCTTGATATCTGTTTTGAAGTAATTTTTCTTCCCTACACTTTCGATTCTATATTTTCAGTCATTTCTATTTACTTTTCACTTAGAAAGTGCTTCTGGTGTAATTTTTTTTAGAACTTGGTATTCTATCAGTTAAAAATAGAAGCTGACTTTTTTTTTTCAGACATTAAAAGATGACAATTTCATATTTGGCTATCCTTAAAATATTTACTTTTAAGTAAATAAGTAAGTTTTAAAATAAATAAACATTTTGTTAGTCAAAGTTGGAAATAAATAGGTTACTTATTTTGAAATTAACCATACTTTACTGTGAATATAAGTAATTTTTTTCACTTATTAAAACATAGTAACCTATTCAAACATGTTTAGATATAATTATAATGGAAATATATTTTAGAGGATGTTGGAGGAAGTGGGTTATGGCGGTTCTTTTAAGTCTGTTTGGTTCGTCATAATGAATAGAAAGCCTAAATTATGGTTTCGAGCCCCTAGAGGAATGTGGAATTCTTAAGGGGTGCAAATAGGAAGTCCCGTACTTACATTCCATTCTGTTGTATGTAACCACATTAATGCTAGTCAAGTACCACTATCCATGTTCTTATAGTGAATCAATTCTTGTCTTTGTTTCATGGAAGTGTTTTAATATTGGTGTTCAATTAATTCTGCAGATCTTTCCTAGACACACAATATACTCTTCATCTTTCAAAACTTAGGCTCAAGTTGAGATCCAGTATCTTGACTGTCATCTATCGGAAGGTAAATCTTATCACTATTGCATATTCAAGTTCATGACACGTGGACTTCTGTGTGACAGATTGCTTATAAGTCTTTTATTGATTTTTTAGGACTTCTTCACATATTTAAAATAAAAATTGTAGTATCCCTTTTTTTTGTTTGTCGCTATTTTTCCTTTCAAACCATATGACTGCCAGTATATATTCTTTCAGTGTCTTTGTGTTAGCTTAGCGGAGAGATCAACATTTTCAGAAGGAGAAATTCAAACATTCATGTCCGTTGATGCTGATCGAATTGTAAACCTCTGCAATAGTGTTCACGATATATGGAGGTTAAATGTCTACACTTTTAACCCATTTGGAATCGTAGTCATATAGTATCCTATCTCTCACTAAATATTTCTGAAATTAACATTTTCTAAATATGTCCGATATCTTCTTTCTGAAGGTGCTAATGCATGGAACAATGCTTATCATAAACTCTTACCCTGAATCAGTACCATTAGCAAAGAAATATCATATATTCCTATTTTTGTGCAGCAGTAACTTTTTATTATTAATTCTTGACTCGTGATTATTGTGTAACTGCCTCAGCTTGCCATTGCAAATAGGAATTGCTCTGTATTTACTCTATCAACAAGTCAAGTTTGCCTTTTTATCTGGGGTGGCAATAATTATTTTGCTAATACCAGGTAAGCTGACCAACTTTTAAATTCTTTAAGTTCTATTTGGACACAGATGATTTTTCAGTTATATCCTGCCTACACGAGAATATAAAAATATATTTTTCTGTTCTGTATTCATCAAGTAAACATTATAAAAGCATGTTTCTAACATATATAGGCATATAAAAAGTTGAATATGAATGCCAAGTATAATTGAAAAATATTGTTTATTTCCATCATAAATTTCCTTTTACCACTCGTTTGTTTTGTTTCCTTTATTAGTATATAGAACAATATTGAATAAACCCATTAGTTCTGGAGGGCTAATTTTTTCCCAGTTAGGTAATAATTTTATTTCAATAGTGCTTATATACTCAGTCAAGACCATCATTAACAAAATAAATTATAGCAAAATCCTCACAATGCCCAAAAAGTTGTATACACGTCCTATGCATAAATATTAAGCCCCTGTTTGACAACCATACTTTTTAAAAATAGAATTTTGAATAGTGATTTTAGGAGACTATGTGGTTAAAAAGTAGGGAAAAGTTTTGAGTTTACGTGCATAATATTTTATTGTATGAATGTGGGATTGAAAATGAGTTTGTAGACAAAAGAGTTTGAAAAGTATGGTAGTCAAACATGGGCTAATTGAAAGGTTCTATGTTTTTCTGCCATTGCAGTCTAATTTTTGAACTTAAGATATTTTCAAACTGCAGGCTGGTTCTTGAGCTCCTGATGTTGTTATCATCATATATATCTTGTATATCCAAATATTGATGCACCAATTTCAATATTGGGTTGAGTTACGTTTGGAATACTAATTCCTATGGATATTAATAATTCTATTCACAGTGAACAAATGGATCGCTAATAGGATTGCAAATGCAACCAAAAATATGATGGAGCAAAAGGATGAAAGGTACATAAAAATTTTCCTGAACTAACTTTTTATGCATATAACTTTGCAGGACGAATTTATCCTCCTTAGTGATGTTGAATTTTGATATTCTAGTACACTGTCCTTGCTGCCTTAATAATTTCTCATAAGAGATCTAACTAAAGTATCAAAACTATTTGATCTCTCTCCCCCTCCCTCTCTCTCTATGTCAAAAAGAAAACAGAAAGTCAAAGCCTACTCCTAACTTGTAGAAAGAGGAGCAAAATAAGCGTTGGCCATGAGTCAAGTTTAGAACTAGAAGGCATCATATAGTAAGATACAAGAATTTCACACTAATGGACTGTTTTAAAATGTTAAATCATTTTAAAAGCTCGATAGAAGCTAAATGAAGTAGTAAAACATTGTACTTCTAGTCAAATATACATCTAAATGGGTTTGGCAGTAGACCTGTTATACTTCTTCTGAGTTACCACGTATCTCCTAATTTTCTATTTTGTAATGCTACAGGTGTGCATACCACTTATATAGTCATGAATGTCATACATCTTAATTTATATGTCATTTGGCAGGATTAGGAAAACAGCAGAACTTTTAACATATATCCGCACTTTAAAAATGTATGGCTGGGAGCTTCTTTTCGCTAAATGGTTGATGAAGACAAGATCCTCCGAAGTCGCATATTTATCTGTGAGAAAATTGTATTTTACTTTATCATTCTAGTTGCACATGAACTGAAAACCAGGATCTTAGGTACCATGGCATGAAACTAACAGATTTCCTCTTTTACTGTTAGACTAGGAAGTATTTGGATGCCTGGTGTGTTTTCTTTTGGGCAACAACACCCACTCTTTTCTCTCTGTTCACATTTGGACTCTATACAATGTTGGGTCATCAGCTTGATGCAGCTACGGTATATCAGTAGCTTTAGCCTTTTTTTCTAAGGAAAATTTATATTGCAAATATTCTTCTTTCACAAGTTGTGCATCAATAATATTTTACTGTCTTCACTTATATTTCGACATTGATATTCAGGTTTTCACTTGCCTTGCTCTATTCAACAATTTAATCTCCCCTCTAAACTCATTCCCATGGGTCATTAATGGTTTGATTGATGTAAGTTTTCATTATCCTTAATTTTAAGATTTTGTGCTTTGGAATGTGAATATTATTATATTAACTCTATAATTGCTTCCAGGCCGCCATATCAACTAGACGGTTGAGCAAGTACCTCTGCTGTTATGAAATTGAAACTGGACCCAGTCTCTCATTCCTGTCACATTCGGATGAAAAGTTGGATTATGAAGATACTCCTGTTGTTCTTCGTGATGCATCTTGTACATGGTCAAGCAGTAACGAGGAGGAGTTTGATCTGGTCTTGAAACACATAAATCTTTGCGTTCCTAAGGGCTTTCTGGTTGCGGTAATTGGAGAGGTAAATTTCTTTAGAGTTTTACTATTTTGTTGAGTTCCTACTTTTATATGCATTATACATTTGTACTTCATTGTTGGATTCGGAAAGTATCTTCAGTGGTGTTGTATGAACTTTCTTATGTTTATCATCTCATATTTGCTCATTTCACGGATAACACAAGAGTATGCATCCTTTAAGTTGAACTTCGATTTGATATTAATGCTAAACTAAATCTCGGAAACTGATGGATATTATTAAACTCACAAAATTTCCTACTTTTATGCGTGTTGAACTTTACAATTAGATGGATTTCCCACTTTTCCTTTGATGCAAACTTATCCTGTAACATCTAGCACCATCATAACAAGTATTGTACATTTCTGCATATTACAGGTTGGATCGGGTAAATCGTCTCTCTTAAACTTGATTCTCCGGGAAATGAGACTCGTCAATGGATCAATTTACTCAAGTGGAACCACAGCATATGTTCCACAGGTTAATTAACTTTAACTAGTAGTAGCAACTTCGTGCATGCTTTTGAAACAACTTTTTACACTTCCTACTTCTGCTTTAGGTCCCTTGGATTCTGTCGGGAACTATCCGTGACAATATTTTGTTTGGCAAGGACTATGATCAGAAAAGGTATTAATTATGAAACATTGTTGAAGGCTCGGGGTTAATTTTGAGCAAGGAATATGTTCATACCCACCAATTTCCTGAGCGTTCTGTGTTAAAATGTTCTCAATATATATATATTCTCTTATCTGAGCAGATACTCAGAAATATTACAGGCATGCGCTCTGGATCTTGATATTTCCCTAATGATGGGAGGCGACATGGCTTGTATTGGAGAGAAAGGAGTCAATTTATCTGGAGGACAGAGAGCTCGTCTTGCGCTTGCCAGGTGATATTTTCTCTTGTTTTTCTCCGAGAGCAGAATGTTTAAATTGCAGAGCACATTATGATCTTCTCTAAATTCCTTTTTTTTGGTTATGGGAACGAGTAGAGCTATCTACCAGGGCTCAAACATATACTTGCTTGATGATGTTCTAAGTGCCGTTGATGCACATGTTGCTTGCTCAATTCTACAAAATGCTATTCTTGGTACTCTTTTAAACCAGAAGACACGCATTCTCTGCACACATAACATTCAGGTTCAGCATATTCTCCCTCTCCTTTTCATCATTAAACTAACAATACCTACTGACAAATTCAGTACCTATTTTGCAAATGAAGAAGTGAGACGTTTTAGCAGCTGATGTTAAATTTGTTTCTATGGATGACTCGATATTTTGCAATTGACAATGATTATTATGATACATAGTATAGATCAGCACTTGTATAGAATTCATTTTAAAGAGTATGTCCTTTTCTAGCAGGCAATATCTTTGGCCGATATGGTGGTTGTGATGGATAAAGGACGTATGAAGTGCATAGGAAGTCCATCTGACCCTTCTGTTGCTTCCTACATATCGTTTTTATCAGTAAATGACTTTAACACATTTTCTGAGGAAGGCAAGAAAGAAAAAATATCAAATGTTATTAAAGAAACCCTTGAGAAAGACCTAGATGATGATTGTATAAGCTCTTCCAGCCAAGCCCAAGACATCATTGAGGTTGAGACAAGAAAAGACGGTAGAGTCGAACCAACTGTGTACAAGTGAGAGTTTATTTGTTGATTCAATTTGAAGGCACAAGTCCACGAAATTTGTCATTTGATCATTTGCTAATGTGTTATCTACAGAAATTATGCTGCATTTTCTGGTTGGTTCATTACAATTCTGACATGTCTCTCCGCAATTCTAATGCAAGCATCTCGTAATGGAAATGATCTGTGGCTATCATTCTGGGTTGATACAACTGGAAGCAACCAAAAAAAGTACTCAACTACCTTTTATCTGGTAAGTAGTTATATCCTTGAAATGCATTGAGGCCTCATCGAAGTTTGTCTAACCAGAACTAAGATGAAATGAATTATATGTTCATGGGGAGTGCAATATTAAAATTTATTGTTGTGTAGACAAGAAGTATGCATCATGATTTAGATTTTTCTTGTAGTAGTCTCCTCACCCCATGATTCTTCTTGGTTTATGTACTTAAAGCACATAATATGGTGGAACTGCAGCATATTTTTTAAGCGTTTCGGGTAACCTATTACCTGTGGTGCAGGTCATACTCTGCGTGTTTTGTTTAGTGAATTCCTCCTTGACTTTGGTGAGGGCATTTGCATTTGCATTTGGTGGTCTACGGGCTGCTGTTCGGATGCACGATAAATTAGTACAGATTCTTATCAATGCACCGGTTAGTTTCTTTGATCAGACCCCAAGTGGAAGGATACTAAACAGGTAGCATGACATTCCTTCAAATGATTAACAATTTCATTTCACTTTTCCACTTTAATACTAAACTTTATTATATAGATTGTCCTCAGATCTTTATACAATAGATGATTCTCTTCCTTTCATACTCAACATTCTCCTGGCAAATTTTGTTGGCCTCTTGGGAATTGCTGTAGTTTTGTCGTATGTGCAGGTATTGTAAATCATACAGCCTTAATGTTTTCCTCTTGCTCATTTCAGAATTTAATTCATTCTCTGTACTTGTATGGAGTTTTGTCCCTAAGACTCTGCTCACATGTGCAGGTCGTGTTTATGCTGCTTTTATTGCCTTTTTGGTATATATACAGAAAATTGCAGGTTTGTAATATATCTTTTCTACAAGGTTGCAGAGCCAAGATTTAACATTTAGCTCGACATAATTTCTCTCCTAGAGTTTTGATGCTAAGCTCTTTTGAGACAGTTAAATTGAGGGAGAAATTTTTGTTATTTAACTAAAAGTGTTGAGGCATACGGTACATGGAACTTAAACACTCAGTCGAAAGAAAACCAGATCCTGCCTACAATTCTTTTCTTTTTTCCTGGAAGATAGACAAATAGGGATATATTTCTAGTTGTTACCGTAATAATTATGCAATATTATAATATTCTAAAATATCAAACACCAGCACTAATAAACATAAGATTTTCTTAGTTTTACTACAGATCAACGTCTCGGGAATTGCGAAGACTGGACAGTGTTTCTCGTTCACCTATTTATGCATCATTTACCGAGACATTAAATGGTTCACCAACTATTAGAGCTTTCAAGTCTCTGGTAAAGTTCTTCTCTGTTACAGCATCAGCATGACGCTTTATTTAAAATTACACCTGGCGGTGTGCTTTTAGTGCTACTTGAATTATGCATTTCTTTCTTCATATTTTGATCAGTCAAGAGAATATATTTAGATGTAAAAGATCGGGTATTCCTAGATAAAAAGAGTTTTTATGGAGCATGATGAGTAGGAGATCCTTAGGGTCTGTCATAAATAGTTAAAATAAAATAATCAGATTGACTAGGTTGGTACTTCACCAATCAGAAGCTCGCCATCGTCATTGTTGATCTGGACCTTGCAAGCATTTATCCACGAACTAAATCTTTCTCTGTTGATCTTTTGTTAATATTAAATCTGTTTCTACAGTTAAAAAACAAACAATTATAATCACAAGGCTCTTGGTTCCTATAATAGGAGTTAAATTTCATTTAAGCTGGAAGTCAACAGGTTTCAGTTCTATTTTCTCATGAACATGCTTACAATGTTTCAAAATGACAATTAGTTGTGCTTGTGGGCAGGACCACTTCTTCTCTAGGTTCACTCAGCATATGCAATTATATCAGCGGACTTCTTACACAGAGATCTTTGCAAGTTTATGGCTTTCCCTTCGTCTTCAGGTATGTCTCCTGATGTTAGCATTTTTGTCTATGCATATAATGCAGAAAGTCTAGATTTGCAACTTTGTTGTGGGTGAACTTATCAATTCTTTATGCACTTAAAACTCCAAAATTTTCAGTCAATAGTTACATGTGAGTAGTGACAGGTAGACGTTTTTAGTTGTTGGCAGCATGTATCGTATCATTTGTTGCTGTGATGGCTATTGTTGGCTCTCATGGACTTCTCCCTGTCAGTTTGGGCACTCCAGGGCTGGTAAATTATTGAGCTCCTTTTACTTTTGCTATTTCATCTTTTGTAAGTTGATGTATATATTAGTGTTATGAATCAATTTTAAAGTACTTTAATTATTTTTGAACCACTTTATCCAATGGTTTTGTCAAACAGAGAACAAACAAACATATTTACTTAAATTATGTCCCAATGTGCTTCCTCATTTGCAGGCCAAGTTCCTTTTTTTCAAAAAAAAAAAACCCAGACACTTGCAATTTTCATTAGCCGTGACCTTTCTTGCTCCATGACCTGTTGAATTCATGTGCACAATTATTAAGCTTCTAGATGAGTTGGTTTAACAATTAATTAGATTTCTGAGATGGATGTTTTTTCCCTGTAGGTCGGGCTAGCCCTTTCTTATGCTTCCCCGATTGTATCCTTTTTGGGTAGCTTCTTGACTAGCTTCACTGAAACAGAGAAGGAGATGGTTTCTGTCGAGAGGGTTCTTCAGGCAAGTTAGATTAATGTTAAGCTAATAGATATACTTCCACGTTGTTGTTGACGTTCCTGACCTTCTCTTGCTGCACCTTTCACTTCTCAGTACATGGACATTCCTCAAGAAGAACTGATGGGAGAAAATCCATTAGACCCAACTTGGCCATTGCACGGTGAGATCCAGTTTCAGAATGTAACTCTCAGATATATGCCATCTTTTCCCCCCGCACTACGTGATGTGTCTTTCACTATTGCTGGAGGAACTCAGGTTTGTTAATTTTGACCCCCTGACCTTATTATTCCTTTATCCTGGAAAATTTTGACACTATTGTGAAATCAAAGAGATAGTAAACACAATGAAAGTTTCTAATCACAGAATTTAAGTTCAGTTCTATATAAATATTGATGAACTATAAAGCTTCGTATAGAAAAATTATATTTACAACTTCCACAGCCAAAATTTATCTGTTGTCAAAATTTGTTTTAAGCATTCCATTTTTGCACATTTTTCTTATATCAATAGGTGAACTGAGCATGACAAGCATGAGAAGTCTTGATACTTATCCGATCATTATCCTCAAATGCTAATGCTTGCTCTTCAGATGGATGAACCAAATCTTATTCAATTTTATTGACCTTTTACATTTAATAAATTATTCTGTAATCTAGACAGTGGATCTTTTTCTTTTTTTCCCCTTGTCAAGAGAGTTAAAACTTTTAGCTTCCTTTATTTTCAAGAATGGACATGATAGATACATTAGAGTATCAAGAAAAGTATCACACCATGTGGTTGGAAACATCCATACAGTAGGTTTTAAAACTCAATTGAGAATTTGGTTAGACTCAGTTTAAAAGTTGTATGAAACTGAATCAGGTTGGAATCGTGGGAAGAACTGGTGCTGGAAAATCAAGCATTCTGAATGCTGTATTCCGTCTCAATCCAATTTGTGGTGGACGTATTATAGTGGATGGTATAAACATTGCTGGAGTTCCTGTCAGAGATCTCCGTTCTCGTATTGCTGTTGTTCCCCAGAGCCCATTCTTGTTTGAAGGATCATTAAGGTAATTAGAAGAGTATAGGAATATTTTTGTTAAAAAGAAAAAGGGGTCGAACTCCAACTTTGAGGGTCCCGCCCCACACCCTAGAGCATTGTGGAGAAGGTAAATCTCGGGATGTGCCTCAACAGGCCAAGATACAAGAGCCGTCATACTGGTGCCCACAAAGAGTCTAATTCCATACCTTGTAAAAGGCAGGAATCGAACCCTCACACTGCGGCTGCCAACTCAGCTGAGACTACCACACTCCTGTCATTTGCACCACTGAGCTATGCCTCGGGGGGCTACATGAATATTTTTGTTGCTGATACAACATGTTGCTGAGATTTAATAGATGACATTAAATATTTGGTTTCCACGATAATTTTCAGGGCAAATTTGGATCCATTCCAGGTAACTAATGATGAAAAGATCTGGAACATCCTGGAAAAATGCTGTGTTAGGGAAGAAGTAGAAGCAGCTGGAGGACTTGACACTCATGTACAAGAATCTGGAACCTCTTTTTCAGTTGGGCAACGACAACTCCTTTGCCTTGCACGTGCTCTTCTCAAGTCTTCTAAGGTACAAGAATGGAGGGTGAGAGATTATGCTTAAAGAAAGACACGTGCCTGCATAGGTAGGGGATGTAAATGGGGCCGGCCTGGATGGCGAGCCCATGGCAGTCTTGAAATTAATAGACAGTCCATTTCCAAGAAACTTTTTGTTTTTCTTTTGAGCCCACAGAACGGCCCAGGCGGCCCCCCTGAGCCATGCTCTGCATTGGACCGGGTTAGGCCGGCCTGGCCTATTTTTACACCTCTATGCATGGGTATGCTCGCATGCACATGTACAGAGAGAGGGAGGGGGTACTGCCTTATTAACGAGAGGCTGACAATTATACAAATGTAAACTTTCAGGTACTCTTCTTGGATGAGTGCACTGCCAATGTAGACTCTCAAACAGCTTCTAAACTACAGAAAGTAATATTTACCGAATGCCGAAGCACAACTGTTATCACAATTGCTCATCGCATTTCCACAGTTCTGATCATGGACGATATTCTTATTTTGGATCAAGGGACACTGGTAAGATCGTTCAGTTTCTTAGATTTTACATCTCCATTTTAGCAAAATTCATTTTAGATCATTATCAGTCCTTGCGGGTGGAAGGAACAGGCTGTAGTTCACTAAACATGCAAAGATTATTTAAGGAAAAAAACTGCACAAGTGACCAGGCTAGTGTTTCAACTTCCAAAACTGAATATCTCTAAGACAAATTCTATAAAGCACCGTAGTTTATTCTTATATATTAATGCGCTTTGAAAGAGTTATTTTTCTAATTGAACACCTTACGAAAAGTGTGAAAAATTAACCAATGGAAAAGTATTTTGGTGACCGATGCCTGTAATATAAGAATACTTAATAAACTTAAATGACTCTTATAACACGATTGATATGGTGGATTGGACAATACTGAACTTTGTTAAATAAGAAAAAAATTGTTTGAAAAATGTTTTCTATTAGTACGATCTAATAGTGCATGCTGAACATGCACTTGCTGTATACGAGTACCCTCATTATTTGATTGTGGTATACAAGTTCATGGTTTGATTAATTAATCAATAACATAATTTGAAGTTCTTTTCTGTATCTCCTTTGTAGGTTGAACAAGGAAATCCACATATACTTCTGCACAACGAGTCCTCCAGATTCTCGAGTTTTGCCAGGGCTTCAACAATGTAATCTTGATGGATTAACGAGATTCTCCCCATCCTTGTCTACTATTCCGCTAAACCACATTGAGGAGTACGGGTTGTCAAAATGAAATAGAGTAGATTTTAGGCAGGAAAACTTTAGCATGCCATATTTAGGGGTGGAGCCTCCAAATTTGTGGAGTCTAAGATTGCCATAAGTAAATCCTGTCTCCTTGTTGACCCATGTCTTATTTGGCAACGTTAAGGATTTCAAGACTTGGGAGTATGCCAAATTTGATTTGTATTTCCTTGCTCTTTTTTTGTTTTTATATGTTTCTTGTCTAAATTCAATGTTTTTAACCTTCCAATTCCACTAGGATTAAAAATATTCTTGTGTGCGCGCATGCGTGAAATAGACTGTCGCGGACCACAATAATATGATTTTTCCACGTAGTAATTGGATGGAATAGCAAAAAGTTCTGCTGTGAGATATCCAATATCGATATTCATGCCACGATTGATCCAAGCCAGAGTATTGGGATTTATTTGTTTCTGGTTAAAGAAGAACGATCAAGCTACATATTCAAACCGTGTAGAAAATTCGCACAACGTTGTTTACTTTTAGCTCGTTTGATTATGTGGATTGTACAAAATACTGAAGCGTGAAGAAAAACAACAGTGTTTTACGTTGTGTACCAAAATACTGTTTGACTTTCAGAAGTCATAATATACAACAAAATACTTTGATGTTCTACAATTTTTCTGCCTGGCTATTTTGTTGAAGAAACGGTCCTGAAATGGCAGCTGCAAGTGCTGATTTGAAATTGGGATCACGTGTAAAGATGGAAGCCATTTGTTCCACTAGATACTGCTGGAATTGTGGACCCATTATTTGGGTTGAATCAGTAGCTGGCTTTGGTTTTGTAAGGTCAAGTGTAATGGTCTGTGCAGACGAGCTTAGAGAGGTCGTCGAGCTAGGGACCGTGCTAAGTGTCACCCCCCGGCTGGAGCCAGCAGCTAGCTCGGGTTTCGAGGGGGGATGATGGTTGTGCTCTCCTTCATAAGTTGCAACTAGAATAGATTGATCATCTATACTTCTTTGAACCTGCATGAAGATCATGTAACAAACAATAAGAAATCTAAAAGCTTGAGAAAATTGATAAATTCAAGAACTGTTGAAAAGGATTAAGCCCATGTTTGGTTCAAATTTTTAATCCGATTTTACTCTCAAATCAAAGTCAACAATTAATTTCAATCACACATCTCATTAACTTTTATCAAAATCTACTAAAAACTTGTTTTTAATACCAAAAAGGGGCTAAATCTGTTTCGATCTTGTTTCGAATTAAGTTAAAATATCTTCGATTATAGTGTTCAATTACGTACCAAACATTGATCAATTACGTACCTTCTTTTTTACTGGACAGGTTGGAGCTAAAGAGCACTTGAAATAAGCTCTTGGGGAAGGATTGTCCCTGGTAACCTTCTGTCCATACTTCCTCCACTGATATCCATCCTTAACTATCTGTAATTTGTATAAAACAGTTTTCAGTACAGGAAAATAAACAAAGATTTGTTTGAATGTATGAACTACTTTAAAGTAACATACTCAGCTTATGAGTAATGATGCATATAGAGCATGTTCAACACACTGGCCAGGACAGTTTCGTCCACGGAAACTGACAAGATTTTAACTTCCTTTTTTATTCTTAATTCCTATTTAATACTATCCCGTCCAGCATAACAAACGTGCCAACGAGACGTTCCACTTTTGAGAAGTTTCTAAGTGAGATTCACTTATAATTACTTACAAGGCTTGTATCAGATGCTTCTGTTCGTACGCAGGTTCGCGAAATCTTTGTTGTGATGTGTTCTTCCCTTGGTTTCTTGCATGAATCTTCATCACTTGAACTGCTCTCAGAAGGGCCATTGATTCCATCAGTATTGCCATTGTTGTTGCTGCTTTCAGCTTTCCTTTTTCTTGATGCATCATTATTTACTATAGAATTCTTGCCCATGGACATCACTCGGTTTCGCAATTCATTGTAATTCTCACATATGACTGTTAATAGTTCTGTCAGCTTCTTGTTTTCTGCACTCACCCGCTTTAGTTCCTCAATCAATGCACCTTTCTGAGAAAAAAAGAAGATGAAAATAAGTTAAGAACTCCATTTTTATCATTCTTGATTTGAAGACACGCTCTCTCTCTCTCTCTCTCTTTCTCTCTGTGTAGAAAAAACTCACTTCTTTCACTGTAATATTTCTCCCCAACTCGATAAAATCGATTAGTACCTCTTGTTTCTGTAACAAAAACAAGTTCGATTAGCACAAGGAATGTTACAGGGATAGGTATGACTTAAGGTACTAAAGAAACACGAACAACTAATTATAATAATTCATTCGATAACATGTTTAGCCAAAAACTAAGTTTATGTTCGGCACATGGGATCGGTTTTACGAAGTTCAAAAAACACCAAACATGTCATAAGTGTATATATAGTTCTAAAGCTTCACATACCGGCAACGGTGGCTCCTCCTCGAGAATTTGTAGAGGTTTGCCGTTACGATCCGATGAAGTATTCGTCAGACTAATGAATTCCATAGCTTCTGATATATACTGAGATTTTCAAAGCTCCTCAATTTCTTCAGAAAATGCTCTCAAAGTGGTAAAGCACCTGTGATTATCTAATGTTTGACGCAAAATCCAATGAAGAGAAGATGTAATATAATAACGAAGTTGTCAAGTTGTAGGAAGGTAGGGAGGAAGCTGAAGATGGAGTAGTTGATAAAATATTCTAATATTGTCATTTATTTATAGCTGAAATGGAACACAACGTTGGTCGTTTGCGAGAAAAGTAAAAGGTAGCTTTGTAGATTAAAAGAAAGTCTCATCAAGTAAAGTTTTCAATTTTTAGTTACTTATTTTGTCAAACAAAATTTTTAAAATTACTTAATTTTCAATAATTTTTTTCTAAAAGTATGGTAAGACCGATTAAAAATGTATAAAAATAAAGGCGAACATAATATTTTTTTTCCTACTTAAGTAGCCGTCTAAGTTTTAAGTACTATGAATTTCACAGAAGATTAAGAGCAACGTTTGACGAGAATTTGCTTTTGCTTCTACTTTTTATAGAAGAGTTTTTGATAAGTTGTTTTAAACCGACTTTCATTAAAAACTCTTTTCACTTAGCAAAGTTCAAACATTATAAAAAATAATTTTTTAATATTAAAAATAGCTTTTAACTTTTCAAAAATGTCGTCAAATTCCTGTAAATGAAATATGATTTAGAAATAAAAGAAGACTTTGAGAAAACACGAGGGATGAAATTCTTTGGAGAAGTCAAAGTCAAGCCCACCTTTGGTAGGAAGAAGACGACGTACGTACGTACCTTGTATTATGCAGTCAAACTCCTATATTGACCAATCTTTTCATTTCTTTATGCATATTATAATACAATATATTATTTTCAGTGTGATTGGACCAGGACTAGTAATTCAAAAGTGGTATAGGTTGCATTTTTGTCACGTCTGTACTCGTGTTTCATGTTATCTAAAATTATATATTGCACCAATTAAAAGAGTGGCAGAAATTGTTGGATTTAAGTGTCGGCACGGCTCCGGTTCTCTATTTGTCACGTTTTTTCATTTTTTGGGCACATCTGATACATTAGATTGAATATGATTTGCCTACGCCAAAAATGGATATTATTATGTACTAAGTTTGGTCTCGACTCTCAAGGCATATTATGAATATATTCAACCTCAAATTATGCCAAAGAGAGAAAAGGGTTATTAAAAGTAAAATTCAATATAACTTGAGTCATTTTGACTATAAAAAGAATAGATTTATATCGTCACTAATTGGTATATCACTTGTTTAGAGAAGAAAAGCCAAAAATTGTCATCATCTCATACACATATTCACAGGGACAATTGACATTACACTTATTCGCCAATTTGGAACGGTAAAAAGAAAATTATTCAATAAAGTTCTGAATACATGAGGTAAATTGACTTATGAAAAATGAGAACAAAATATCCATATGCGTGATACGTATTTAAATGATGTATCATTTCAAGCATTGCTTAATTAACAAAATCACCAATTAAATCATTCATTATAAATATACGAGAGCAAAAGTCTTAGGTAGGACGGCTATTGGCGATCTTCCCTATTGATAAATTGATTTATAAATTCAATTAAAGTCAACATTTATATTCATCATTGCTATTATAATCCACATATTTCGTAAAATTCACCACCATTCATCTTTATAAAACATTTATAAGTTCACCAATCAAAGGCTAAGTCAAAACTCAAAAAAGTTTCATATATGATGTGATTTAGGTATCAATTTCTCTTGAATCGTCGTATCTCAGCCTAATTCGACGGTAGGATGGCTTATTTCATAGGCTTTTATTGTTCATACGAAGTGGATTAAGAAACTTCAAAGTAAAAGTCGTCAACAAATGTGATTAAAGAGTGTTAGGAATATTGAGCCTAACTCCACCTAATAAAACTAGCTTATTAGGGGAGGATTGCCCTCACCTTATAAAGTGGATCATTTATATTTTCCCAAACAATGTGGGATTCTAATACGCCCCCTCACGCACAGCGTGGACCATGCCAAACAACTGTGAACAAATCGATATTGGGTGGCACCCAACATTGCATAATTGGGCACAATGTGGGATTCTAATACGCCCCCTCACGCACAGCGTGGACCATACCAAACAACTGTGAACAAATCGATATTGGGTGGCACCCAACATTGCATAATTGGGCCTAGCTCTGATACCATGTTAGGAATATTGGGCCTAACTCCATCTAATAAAACCGGCTTATTAGGGGAGGATTTAAAAGAATACGATCGAACATGCTCTTTTTGGTAACACAAGACGTCGATAAAATCTTTAATAAGTAGAGTGACCAACAGTGCATTTCCCAGCGCGGAGTTACTCTCCAGTCTCCCTGGGTGTTCTAGAAGCAGAATCTTTCCAAATTGGCGTTTGAGAACCTTAACTTTTCTACGTATTTCACACGAATAC